AGTTCTGTACCCAGGTGTATGTTACGTATCCTGGACAGAGAGGGGGACGTTTAGGTTTGTCTCAGAGTATGGCGGTTTTGGTGTTAGTTAAAAGATGTGACATACCTGTATCACTTAAGGATTACCGACCAATATCGCTAATGTGTAGCGATTATAAATTATATGCAAAAATTTTAATGAATAGGATTAAGAAAGTGTTTGACAAGGTAATACATAAGGGTCAGTTTGGCGTGCCATGTAGGTTGATGTATGATGGTCATGGGAATATCAGGGAGTTTGTCGAGGAATGCAGAACGAGGGGCGGGGGTGGTGTTTTGGCTTTAGACTGGCAAGCTGCTTTTGATAGTGTAGAAAGGGAGGTGCTGTGGAAGTTTATGAGATGGCAGGGTTTTGGAAATGAGATCATGTGGGCTCATTCTTTGTACAATGGTGCTGGGTTTCAAGTACAAATTAATGGGAAGTTAGGAGACTTTGTCAAATTGAATAGAGGCATTCGACAGGGATGCCCTACGTCTCAAATGCTCTTTGCTTGCATGCAGGACCCTTTTTATTGGACAGTTTGTGGGCGGGGAGTAGATTCGTCGTGGGGTTCGGGTAGTGATCGACCAGCCATAGTAGGTTATGTAGATGATACAACTGTCCTATTACGTACGAGGGAGCAATTGAGTTTTGTGGGAAGACTTGTAGATGTATTTGGCAAGGCAACAGGAATGCGGGTTAACAAAGAAAAATCAAAGATTATGACGTTGGGAGATTGGGCGAGAGAGGAGGTAGGTATAGAGACGTGGACGGTGGTCGACTGTGTTAACGTATGTAGTATACAGTATATGAGAGAGGTTGATAAGACGAGGGCATGTAATTCAGGGAGGGTGGTAAATAGTGTTTTGAGGCGTATAAATAGTCTAAGGCCACGACATTTAACCCTACACCAGAGGGCGATAGTAATTAATGTTCTTCTTTATAGTAAAGTTTGGCACGTTGCTGCGCTGTATCCACTAATACAGGGGGATCTCAAAATTCTTTTAAATATAAATAGAGTTTATAGATTTTTGTGGGGCTCAGGGTGTGACTGGCTCACAAGAGCGGTGGTAGAGACACCAATGCGTCAAGGAGGATTAGGTCTTGTTCCTTTAAGAGACCGAGTCATTGCTTGTTATGTGAAGCATCGTTTTCTCCGACTGGGTGGCAGGCATGGTGGTTTAACCGAAATATATCATGACCTGCACAGGTGGTGGGGATGGACAAATTTAATTAGGTGCGAGACGATGCTACGCATGTTACTGTGCATGCAAGATGTGCGGAGCGTTAAATTGAGTACTTTGGAAAGAGTGGGTATGGTGAAAGTTGAGGTGAGAGTTCAGGGAATGCTCCCCATGTACGCGTGGTGTGATATATGGAAGCGGGTTCATCAGTTACGTCTCCTTCCTCGAGTACGCGAAGTGGTTTTTAAATTTTTGCATGGGATTCTGCTGACCAAGGTGGTGTTGTCTAATCGGCATGTAGAGGAGGACCAGAGTTGTTCAGCGTGTGGGGACGAATCAGCGTTTCATGTGCATTTCTGTGAAGCTTTAGGTATAGTACGTGCGTGGTTAAGCAGGGTTTTACGAATGGTAGGGGGGGGAGGTTTGTTGGTACTTAGGGCATTGAGTTTTGATGTGGGTGGGGTTGACATCTGTGTACAGTGTGCAGTGTCTTATGTCGTAGCCGATTATATTTATGTGTCATGGGCTATGAGGCATGTTGAAAGTAATGGCAGAATCTGGGTTTTAGCGGGAACAATTCTTAGAAGTAAGTGTCAAAATCAATTGGTATACGAGGGGAGATGGGAGAAAGATTTCCCGTCTGCATATAGCACATTAGAGTTAAAGGATTTGAGATAATTTGTGTTCTTTCAGTGGGTAATCTAACGGGCTGGTCAGCTGCGTTTAATTGTGTGTAAATGTCTTGTGTTTGTGAATTGTTGTGTCTCCAATGTGATGATGACATTAATAAAAATGTAAAAATTTTGTACGTGCAGAACGTTAAAGGTTTTGCCTTTTTTATTCTTGTATACCAATCATTGGTATTTGTATAGATGTGTTTTCCTATTACATGTAATATATGATATTACATGTAATTGATTACATTATTTGTTGAGATGTAAAATAACACATCGTATTTGTTATATTTGGATGTTTTCGTCGTCGATTCATTAATACCTATGTCTATGTTGGTGTGCTTGTGCGTGTTATTGTGCGTGTTATTGTGCGTGTTATTGTGCGTGTTATTGTGCGTGTTATTGTGCGTGTTATTGTGCGTGTTAGTTTTTTTAACACAATGATTTATTATACAGTCTATATACTTACCCATGTGTGCTTGCCATTTGTATGTACACCATAGGTAGACATGTTCTTTAATAATGTATAATGTGTTGTGTCTGAGTATAAAACCATTGTCAATACTTTGTTTGTGTGTAAAGTGTATTACCATTATATTGTACGGTATTGTTGGTCGTGCGAGATTGTAAAATTAACCGCTTTCTTTTGTGTGTTTTTAATATACATTTATCATTGTGTATCTCTCTGTTTTAAATAAAATATAAAAAAAAATATACAAAACATCCACTTATTATTGTCTACTACATACACAGAACACTATACTTTAATGTAAACCCTCCTCTTAAACTCCTTGATAACTAACAGAACACAACCATAATATGAGACACAGATCGCTCTTCGATATCCCCCCCCCAGTGTTCATCTCCCTATGCAAAAATGCTATGCATGTAGAAGGCCTGAAGATCTGGAATTCACTGCCAGAACAAACTAAACTAAAGGACCCTTGTCTGCAAAGCAGTTTAAGGCCCAAATAAGAAATCACTTCATCACCCAAAATTAACCAGACAAACCATACCTAACCACTAACAGTGTCTCAAAAGCTGCTCATATTGTGCTGATGAATGCTCAACCACTTACTACTTTGAAATTAAGATGTCTGTTCTTTTCACAGTTTTAAATAGTAGTAGATTGTAATACAGTACATCATAATGTAAATTGTTCCATTGTAATACCAAGTTTGCCCAAAATGCTCAGCATACAGAAGGGGTTTTAGCATGTACACCCAACTATTATATTCCTCTGTACAACCATGTAATTTGTCAAAATTAAAAATCTAATCTAATCTACAGACCTCTAGTATAATAGCCTTTGAACTCTGGTAAACTTTTAGCCTTATTACACATACTCAGGCACTGTCTAGGCTTCAGATTACTGCTTGCCATAACTCCAAAGTCCTTTCCACATTCTGTACAGTAAAGTTCTATATTTAGTTTCTAAGTTCTATGGGTATTTACTTTCCCGAGCTTTAGGACTTTGCATATGCCACTTTCTAACCATGTCTAAATTACCAAAGTTCAGTGGAATCTTCGTTTGAGTATTAGTCTGCCTATTTTTGAGTTATCAGGGAATCTGCTCAAATGCCTTATTCTTCCAACATCGAAGTCAATGTAAATTATGAACAATGGGCCTAAAACTGATCCTTGTGGAACAACTTGTGACTGGTCCCCACTCTGATTTAACCCCATTTATACTGAGACTGCTTCCTATTAGTCAGCCATGCCTCAATCCATGACAGGACTCCCCCACCCCCAAATATCATGAGCTGCCACTTAGTCTTGTGTGGTACTTTATCAAAAGCCTTACTGAAATCCAAATAAACTGTCACTTTCTTTATCATGATCAACTGCCTCAAATACTTTATGAAGAAAATCAGCAAATTAGTCAGGCAGGAATGGCCTCTCATGAATCCATGTCGAGTATCCTGAATCAAATTGTACTTAAGATGGCTTGTAACACTGACTATAAATGACTAACAAGTTGCCCGTAATTGAGGTCAGGCTTATTAGGCAGTAACTTGATGGCAACACCTTATTGCTCATTTTAAAAATAGGAATTACATCGGCCATCTTTCACATCTAATGTACTATACCTGTCTGAAGAGAGATTAAAAGGGTTAGTTAATGGTTCACGAAATTCCAACTTCCACTCTAAGAATCCTTGAAGGGAAAAAAAAAAAAAAAAAAAAAACTCAGAGCTTGGGGATTTATTTTAATTGGTCAACCTGGTTTATTACCATATGTCTAGTATGTCTTCTAGAGTGAAGATTGATATTATAATCACGGGGGAGCGCTAAACCCGTAGGAGTGAAGACTGATAAGAAATAATTGTTAAAAATGGATCACATTTCCTTATCAGTAAGCAGTCCTGTTAGTTTTACTTGGATGGAACTTATCTAACCTTTGTTCTATACAATAGAAAAAAAAAACTTTCAGATTAGTTTTTGAAGTCTAAACAACTCCAATTTCAGTCTCATTTAGCTTTTCTTGTACCCTTTTTCATCCCCTTTTTAATGTGAATGGACCTCCCTTTTAAGACTTATATTGTAACATTAAAATACATTATTAAAGCCAGCTTCGCAGCACAACTTGACACTTACTCAAAAAAATAAATATTTGTAGTCATTGACGCGGTAAATGACAATGTTTGGTTGTCTAGTGTAGCTAAAGTAAAATAAAATATTAATCGATGCCTATCTTAACTTAGAGACATCTTAAAACATTTTACAGATGATAGTGTGCAGCAATCATCCATCACAAACAAAATATATTTAGGTAAACATACTACAAAGAGAAGACATGAATCATTCTTGATACTCCATAACAAAAGCTAAAAAAAATTCCTAACCTCGCATTAAATTTTCTCGCTGTAACGTATTATATATTGGTTTACAGTAAATAACGTGCTAGTCAACGAGATAAATAAAAATCTGGGGATAAGACAACTCAGAGAACAATATTTATGTCAGAGGGAAGAAGTGTTGGTGAGACCAGAAACAGCTGATGAACCTTTATGAAAACAAGTGTCAAACCCCGTCATCCCTCACTTATCTCATCCTTAACTTCCCCGCACAAGGTGCTGCTAATAATTGTGCTCACTACTGGCCGTGTCAGTGTGGTAACTTACCTGGAGGAGGTAAAAAAAAAAGGTAAGTAATAAGGTTCGAGCGCTGCCCGGAGTAATATGGCGTGTGACCATGGCAATCACGGAAAAACCGTCATCCTCGGTTAACACTACACCTACCCCTCATAAGATAATTTTACCTCCTTGCCCCCTTTCGTCCATGAGTTTACCGCAGAAACAATAAAAGCAATCTTAAGTAAAATATTGTTTCGAAGGTCCGATTGGATTAATTGTTAAAGGCTAGTTAGGGATGAATTTGTCAATATTGGAACTAGACGGTCTATCCGTCCGAGCTCCTCTTCCCCATGACCCCTGACTTGTCTCGTCACTCCAAACTCCTAACCCTCCCCCCAACTGTCAGAAACGACTAAATCATAAATAAAGGCCATTCCGTGCTTATTAAATTTTAATTTGATAAATTGAAGTTTATTCCCAAAGCCACCCATCAATACTAATTGTACTTCTCCTCACTCTAACTCTAACCCCCACACAACATAAATGCCACAAAAAATAAATGTTTCAAGTTATTTGATTTAGCAAAGTGACATCATCATTTATAGACACATTGGTACTGTCATTATGACAATGTGCCAATTAGACCACTGGATTAGACCAACAATTACTAGTAATTCAAGAAAAAGAATCAGAATAATTATCATTAAGTTATTTTTAAGCCAGCCGTAATGCTATGCATATATAAGTGGCTTTGGCAGCTGTCTTATCTGTATTTTTTGTACCACTGTACGTACGTGTGCTGCTCAAATTTTTAAATAAATAAATAAATAAATGGACATATTCTCAGTCGTAACATTCTGTAGGCTGACATACAAATATCAGTGAGTCATATGTGATCACGGGAGTAGTGTGTGACTGGAGGCCTCCTCAGTAAAAAGTTATAGGCTTATTATGATACATATACCTCTAGCTTAGAACATTCAGTGAAAGCAGTGTGAGGTCAGGCCAGAGCATACAGTGTGAGGTCAGGCCAGAGTATACAGTGTGAGGTCAGGCCAGAGCATACAGTGTGAGGTCAGGCCAGAGCATACAGTGTGAGGTCAGGCCAAAGCATACAGTGTGAGGTCAGGCCAGAGCATACAGTGTGAGGTCAGGCCAGAGCATGCAGTGTGAGGTCAGGCCAGAGCATACACGAATACCACCTGGTGGTTCACACTTACACTCACTCACTCATTTGACCATAAACAGAAATATTAATCTCAATCTTAAAATAATGAATCCTGTGATACTCCAATACTGAAACTATGTACTGTGCCAAAACAAAAGCATTCACATTGCTAAACTCACAAACTAGTATTTAGTCACTTAGTCATAATACCAACTTACCTCATAATTTGTAATATTTTACAATTAAGAATAAAACTAAGTCTGCCCGAAATGCCTAGCCATGCTAAGCGTTCTAGTGGTACACTCTGTAATCACAATTTTACTACATGTAAACCACACAATAACCAAATTTCTGTTAACTCAGCATTGTAATCCTTATAGAGAATAAACTTTGAATTTGAATTTGAATTTACAGTGTGAGGTTAGGCCAGAGTATACAGTGTGAGGTCAGGCCAGAGCATACAGTGTGAGGTTAGGCCAGAGTATACAGTGTGAGGTCAGGCCAGAGCATACAGTGTGAGGTCAGGCCAGAGTATACAGTGTGAGGTTAGGCCAGAGCATACAGTGTGTGGTTAGGCCAGAGCATACAGTGTGAGGTCAGGCCAGAGCATACAGTGTGAGGTTAGGCCTGAGTATACAGTGTGAAGTTAGGCCAGAGCATACAGTGTGAGGTCAGGCCAGAGCATACAGTGTGAGGTTAGGCCAGAGTATACAGTGTGAGGTCAGGCCAGAGTATACAGTGTGAGGTTAGGCCATAGCATACAGAGTGAGGTCAGGCCAGAGCATACAGTGTGAGGTCAGGCCAGAGTATACAGTGTGAGGTCAGGCCAGAGCATACAGTGTGAGGTCAGGCCAGAGTATACAGTGTGAGGTTAGGCCAGAGCATACAGTGTGAGGTTAGGCCAGAGCATACAGTGTGAGGTCAGGCCAGAGCATACAGTGTGAGGTTAGGCCAGAGTATACAGTGTGAGGTTAGGCCAGAGTATACAGTGTGATGTTAGGCCAGAGCATACAGTGTGAGGTCAGGCCAGAGCATACAGTGTGAGGTCAGGCCAGAGTATACAGTGTGAGGTTAGGCCAGAGCATACAGTGTGAGGTCAGGCCAGAGTATACAGTGTGAGGTTAGGCCAGAGTATGCAGTGTGAGGTCAGGCCAGAGTATACAGTGTGAGGTTAGGCCAGAGCATAAAGTGTGAGGTCAGGCCAGAGCATACTGTGTGAAGTTAGGCCAGAGCATACAGTGTGAGGTCAGGCCAGAGCATACAGTGTGAGGGGGGTCTGGCCAGAGCATACAGTGTGAGGTTAGGCCAGAGTATACAGTGTGAGGTCAGGCCAGAGTATACAGTGTGAGTTTAGGCCATAGCATACAGTGTGAGGTCAGGCCAGAGCATACAGTGTGAGGTCAGGCCAGAGTATACAGTGTGAGGTCAGGCCAGAGCATACAGTGTGAGGTCAGGCCAGAGTATACAGTGTGAGGTTAGGCCAGAGCATACAGTGTGAGGTTAGGCCAGAGCATACAGTGTGAGGTCAGGCCAGAGCATACAGTGTGAGGTTAGGCCAGAGCATAGAGTGTGAGGGGGTCTGGCCAGAGCATACAGTGTGAAGTTAGGCCAGAGTATACAGTGTGAGGTCAGGCCAGAGCATACAGTGTGAGGTCAGGCCAGAGTATTCAGTGTGAGGTTAGGCCAGAGCATACAGTGTGAGGTCAGGCCAGAGCATACAGTGTGAGGTTAGGCCAGAGTATACAGTGTGAGGTTAGGCCAGAGTATACAGTGTGAGGTCAGGCCAGAGTATACAGTGTGAGGTTAGGCCAGAGCATACAGTGTGAGGTCAGGCCAGAGCATACAGTGTGAGGTCAGGCCAGAGTATACAGTGTGAGGTTAGGCCAGAGCATACAGTGTGAGGTCAGGCCAGAGTATACAGTGTGAGGTTAGGTCAGAGTATGCAGTGTGAGGTCAGGCCAGAGTATACAGTGTGAGGTTAGGCCAGAGCATAAAGTGTGAGGTCAGGCCAGAGCATACAGTGTGAAGTTAGGCCAGAGCATACAGTGTGAGGTCAGGCCAGAGCATACAGTGTGAGGGGGGTCTGGCCAGAGCATACAGTGTGAGGTTAGGCCTGAGTATACAGTGTGAGGTCAGGCCAGAGCATACAGTGTGAGGTCAGGCCAGAGTAATCAGTGTGAGGTTAGGCCAGAGCATACAGTGTGAGGTTAGGCCAGAGTATACAGTGTGAGGTTAGGCCAGAGTATACAGTGTGAGGTTAGGCCAGAGCATACAGTGTGAGGTCAGGCCAGAGCATACAGTGTGAGGTTAGGCCAGAGTGTACAGTGTGAGGTTAGGCCAGAGTAAACAGTGTGAGGTTAGGCCAGAGTATACAGTGTGAGGTTAGGCCAGAGCATACAGTGTGATGTCAGGCCAGAGCATACAGTGTGAGGTCAGGCCAGAGTATACAGTGTGAGGTCAGGCCAGAGTATACAGTGTGAGGTTAGGCCAGAGCATACAGTGTGAGGTCAGGCCAGAGTATACAGTGTGAGGTTAGGCCAGAGCATACAGTGTGAGGTCAGGCCAGAGCATACAGTGTGAGGTTAGGCCAGAGCATACGAGTGAGGTCAGGCCAGAGCATACAGTGTGAGGGGGTCAGGCCAGAGCATACAGTGTGAGGTCAGGCCAGAGCATATAGTGTGAGGTCAGGCCAGAGCATACAGTATGAGGTTAGGCCAGAGTATACAGTGTGAGGTTAGGCCAGAGTATACAGTGTGAGGTTAGGCCAGAGCATACAGTGTGAGGTCAGGCCAGAGCATACAGTGTGAGGTTAGGCCAGAGTGTACAGTGTGAGGTTAGGCCAGAGTATACAGTGTGAGGTTAGGCCAGAGTATACAGTGTGAGGTTAGGCCAGAGCATACAGTGTGATGTCAGGCCAGAGCATACAGTGTGAGGTCAGGCCAGAGTATACAGTGTGAGGTCAGGCCAGAGTATACAGTGTAAGGTTAGGCCAGAGCATACAGTGTGAGGTCAGGCCAGAGTATACAGTGTGAGGTTAGGCTAGAGCATACAGTGTGAGGTCAGGCCAGAGTATACAGTGTGAGGTTAGGCCAGAGCATACAGTGTGAGGTCAGGCCAGAGCATACAGTGTGAGGTTAGGCCAGAGCATACAGAGTGAGGTCAGGCCAGAGCATACAGTGTGAGGGGGTCAGGCCAGAGCATACAGTGTGAGGTCAGGCCAGAGCATATAGTGTGAGGTCAGGCCAGAGCATACAGTGTGAGGTCAGGCCAGAGCATACAGTGTGAGGGGGGTCAGGCCGGAGCATATAGTGTGAGGTCAGATCATGTCATTCAGTCTTTCGAGGTCAGGTGAGAGCCTAGTGATGCGAAGACAGTATTGGTCATACATTGGTGCGAGGTCAGTTTATGAACAGTTGTGCGAGGTCAGGTCAGTTTATGACCAATGATGCGAGGTCACTGGTCATTGGAAGACGTTACTGGGTCAGGCATTGAGCAGTAAACTGACCATGTCATATCCAGGGTACAATAAAAACCTCTTTTGTGATTTTAAATTACAGGTTTTATGGTGTGAAGAAAATGGTGTAGCTTCTGGAAGGCGACACTAAAAATTTCAAAAGGGTGCAAAAATAGCGAGCACTACAGGACTGAAACTTGAGATGAACAGTTAAACAGATGCCAAGAGTGCACAGTCCGTGCCTTTGCCGAAGGATGATTGCAGTGCATAAAAAATAAGTTTTGAAATAGGCCTACTGGCTAATATTGAACAGGTACTATACATACACTCAGTTTGTAAAGTAAAAGGACACAAGTGCAACTAATGTGACATTTTACTGTGGCAACGTTTCGCTCTCCAGGAGCTTTGTCAAGCTGCTGCAAACAATACATGGACACAGAGGGTATATGTAGATTTAGAGTGAGGTGTAATACTAGTGGTAGTAGTA